TATAGCCTGGCTTACGTAAAAATTGTAGGGAATACTGGGTAAATCTGAGCTCTTCCTTGGCTACAAACTGGTCTCCAAGGAAGGCCTAGACCAAACTACCACAGACCCACACAGATCATTGAGTCCAAATCCTAGCCTTGCACAGGACATCCCCAAGAGTCACACCATGTGCCTGAGAGCATTGTCCAAATGCTTCTTGAACTCTGTCAGGCTTGGTGCTGTGACCACTTCCGTGGGGAGCCTGTTCCAGTGCCTAATCACCCTCTGGGTGAATCACCTTTTCTAATATCCAACCTAAACCTCTCCTGACATAATTTCAAGCCATTCCTATGGGTCTTACCACTGGTCTTTTGGGGTTTTCTCCAGTTAGAGCAGTAGATTGGAGATACCACCCTTTACCATGACTTTGGCATCCACCTTGTATCCACAGACCGTCAAGGTACAAGCTTAGTGCTTGTACAACAAGGCTGAGTGAAGCAGTTCAGACAAGGCACATGGTCATGTCAGTACTGGAAATGTGTAGGCTTGCACAGGAAGATCCCTGCTCTAGGATTCGTTCTAGCATTTGATCACCACCTTCTTTCTGTCTTTCCAGAAAACTTTTTTCCACTTTTCATCAGCTTTCTGGTCAAACTCCGGGCATGCTCATTCTGTTCACCATTTATCTCACTAGACAGAAAATAGTTGCAAAGCCTGTTAATAGCTGAACACATCTGTGTGCTGAGCATCCTTTTGGCAATAACAACTTTATTGGGTTTTGTTAGGCCTGAGGGGGAAGGATTATGGCCTAGTTAATATAGCTTGCTGAGGATTTGAAAGGTTGTACTGCCTTAAGGTAGAGAAGGCAAATGAACCATCTTTTGGGAGATTCGTCTTCTCTTGTCTGTCCTAAGGATCTCTAAAAAGCTTTTGGCTTCTGCTAACAACAGTTTGTACTCTTTGGTTTCCATGATGCACAGCCCCTTACCTCCCCACTCAATTTTTGTTGTGTCTTACTAGAACTTACTACCATCATAGTAAGATATGCTAGAGTTCATGGGAGCTTTAACTGCAGTTTTGTTTGTAGTTTTTAGTAGTGATAACCTCTGTTTGCCCCCAGCCATGAAATGTTGTTATTTGTATTACTCTCCCAGTTAGTCATGGACAATAACCCCTTATGTGTGACATCATGCAAAGAAGATGAAGCTGTAAAGAACTTGCCATCTAAATGAAAGGCATGACACAGTGAGACAAGAACACAGTGAGACAATGTCAGCAAATAAAGAGCTACTCCTCTTCTCTTTTCATGAGTGTGTTTAGGGGAAAACCTGTGTTGTGACTATTGAAAACTAATCTTCCCTCAAGGTAGGAATATTTCACAATGTCTGGAAGAATCCACTTAAGGATTCAGGAGCCACCCCATCCTTTGAGGAATGCTGCCTGTGGTCTTACTGCCCTCCTCACTACAGGCAGCACTCTTGCTTTGAGAAGGGAACTGGTCTCTCTTTTGCTTTCTTCCAAAGGCAGCTCCTTTCTAGCATATTTTAATAAAGCTATAAACCATACGAGAGCTGCATTATTCCCTAGCCAGTGTGTGTGGGTAGTGCCTACCAAGACAGGGCCCTAGTTGCTGAATGAGGTTTCTTTTTTCTACCATGTGTGCTTGATGGTCTCTGAAACGTGTGTGATGTGTGTTCTCCTGGCACAAGAGTGGCTGGGCTGTGGTGAGGACCCATGGAGGCTATCACAATACAAATAATAACATCAGTAATTAAAGAAGCACTGGAGGACAATTCTTCTGAATTAATGTTTCCTCACAGTAGAGTGGGAAGCAGGGTGAAGAGGGGCTTTACGCAAACTCCGGTCTTCCATGCTCCGTTATCTTTCCCTGGCCAGAAGGCTTGGGCAATAGGACAGCGTGACAAATTCCTGCCTATCACTGGAGTTGTCTCCACCACCTGGGCTGTCTCTGGGCTCACCCTGACTGCAAGATGAAGCACGGTCGCCTGCCCCTGCTCACCGAGGCTGAAGCTGGGTCACAGCCCCTCGCTGCTGCCATCACGAGGCACGCTCGTGTGAACAGCCACAATAGATAGCTTTGCTGATGCAGGAACTTGCTGGAGACCACAACTTACTGGAGCCCATTTGTTTTACTGGTCCAGCGTTCATGTGCCGAGCTGGTGGTTTAGCCTGGGGTTGGAGTAAGACCTTGGCTGTCTTTTTAGGAAGAGATTCATCTACAGCTTCTTTTTATTCCTGAAGCTGCCTACACAGAGCAGCTGCAGCAGCACAGACTGTTGTAGGGCTCGTGTATCTGAGCCCCCTCAAAGCTGCCTCTTCCAGGGATGATGTTTTCTCCTGCATGAAGCCAAGGCTAACAGCACCATGGCAAATCATGCCATGCAAACTCAGGCAAACAGCTTTACTTAAGTACAGTGAGAATTTGTATTTGGCAGCTACACTGATGACTTGGGTCTTAGGGGAGAAATTGAGCAAATCTCCGGTGCTGACAAGGCAGAGGAATGTCCTAAAGTTGCAATTTTTTATTTCTGTAACTAATACATGAGGAGCTTTTTAAATGTCTTGAGGGGAGGTGGGGGCAGGGGAGAGCCAGGCAAGGGAGAAAAGGAGAGGCAATATGCCTGTGACTTATGACAGTCAGCTGCTAGGCCCCCTGTGTGGCACTCAGGAATCATGGCTCTCCTATCACTGACTTACCAGACAAAGGCATTCTCTGCATTGCAACACAGAGCCTTTGCAGACCATGTTTTATCCTCAGAAGAAATGATGGCTGAAACCCCCAGCCCTGGAGGACTCTGCAATCCAAGCTGGCAGCCAACCAGCTGCTGTGGGATTTGCCCCTGGGAGTGCCTTGCTCTTTGTGTTTTACTTTGAGCTGGGGCCACATTTCACTTTGATTACTCATGTTTCTTTTTTAGTTTTTCTTTTTGATTTATTCTTGTTTGTCTTTCTGGAATTTTGTGCCTTGTTCATTATATTGGTGTGTTGCAGCATGACCTGCAGTCCTGGGGTAGTGGGAAAGGAATGTATGTATCCAGTGTATGTGAGACCTACAGGCGCTGTAACTGTTCAGACACTTGTGCAAACCTCCACAGTCTGACTCCTGTGTGCTCTGCCAGTCCTTGCCTGTGGGCAGCAGGAAGCCAGCTGGTTTTGGTGTGCACATACAAGCAGCTCTGTCCTCAACTACCTTGATACTTGTAGCAGAAAGACTGAAGCATGTCAAGTAAACTCCTGATTCCTTCCAGACTTGCTGAACAGTTTCCTGTGTCCCTGAGAGCTTGTTTGCTAAACAGTAAGTTTAAAAGCAAAAGAAACTTCAACCTGCATTTATTTTTCTGAGCAAATCTACCTGCCCAAATTGAGTTTCTACCCTGGTATTTACGTCAGGTCATGCTATATTCAGTCATAGCTATGCTGGTATGCAAGGGTATTTGAAGCACATAGAAAGAAAGAAAAAAACCCCTAACAAACCCAGAACACGTTTTACATGTCTACTAGAAGGAAACCTTTACAATTATCCATACAAGCAGTGCTTTGGCCTCAAAAGCTGTTCTAGTATAGAGAAGTTCATTAGTCCACTTTGCAGGTTAAGGAAGAACTTTTCAGCTGACCACCTCCAAACCTGTGTGGTGATTAGATGAGATAAAATGGACCTTCCTGGATGGATGGACAGGCAAGGTGGAGAGAGGAAACAGCATTGTACTACACTTAAAACAGCACTGTGTGCATGGTAGCACCATGAGGCAGGGCAGACAGCTGGGACAGGTACAGCCTCACCTGGGCACCCTCAGTGAGCAGCCCTGTGCCTGAGTCTTGACATCCTGAAGGTCTAGGATCAGTCTTCACTTGGTCATGTCCCCATCTCCCACAGCACAGGGTAGGGGCCTCTGGGAAAGCCTGTTGTGGAAAGCCTAAGATTTCACAAAATCACCAAACTGTTAGGGTTGGAAGGAGCCTCTGGAGATCTAGTCCAACTCTGAAGGACACTCACCTAGAGCAGGTTACACACAAGTTTCCCCTTCTGCTTTGGGGCAGAACTGAAACCAAATGGAGAAGTTATCAAAACACACTCCCCCTCACCCCTGCACTGGCACGGGGGCTGAGATACTCACGGAGCAACTCTACAGTCACGCAGTTAATTTATTAAAGCACACGGCGCTCCGGTTCAGCTATTTATAACGTGATCTTACAGCTCTCCCCTCACAGTGCTCGCTGGCCGATCTCTATTTATTACACGATCTCACAGCCCTCCCCTCACAGTGCTCGCTGGCCGATCTCTATTTATTACACGATCTCACAGCCCTCCCCTCACAGTGCTCGCTGGCCGATCTCGTATTTATCTACCACGATCTCACAGCCCTCTCCCTCACAGTGGTCGCTGCCGAGTCTCTATGATTTACACGGATCTCACAGCCCTTCCCCTCACAGTGTTCGCTGGCCGATCTCTAATTTATTACACGAATCTTCACAGCCCTCCCCTCACAGTGCCCGCCTGGCCTCGAGTTCCTCCCCTGACCGGCGCGGGGCCGGCGAGGCGCCTGGGAGCGGCAGCGATGGAGCTTGGGCCCGCAGTCGAGGCATTCCTGTTCCTCCCGAGGCCGGCGAGAACGGCATCTCGGGCGGGCGGACAGCCGGTGGCTCCCAGCGGCGCCAGCACTGCGAGCCCAGGTGAGGGGCCGGGGCGGCGGGGCAGCGCGAGCAGCGCGGCGGCGGGGCGGCGCGGCGCAGGCCCGTGACGGCCCGCGTGTGCTAAATGTGTGCCCGCAGTGGTTCTCAGCGAGGGACGGCGGGGACGGCGATTGGCGCCGACGGGGTCACGGCAGCAAGTTCCGGGTCGGACTGGGACGTACCGCGCGCGGGACTTGAAGGTATTCCCAGGGCGGGGCCGGAGGGGTGTTTTGTGGGACATATCCGGGCGTCCTGCAGCCCCTGGCGCGCTGAGCCGGTGTGAATGTGTGGGCATGTATCGCGGCCGCGGGCTCCGGGGGCATTGTGCCGTGGTTAGTCCGGCTCCGGTGGCTCCTGGGTCGTGGTGAAAGGACGGCAGCCCCCGGTCGGATTCCATCCATCCTGGAGCCAGCACGAGCAAACCATGCAGGAATCTACGCTGCCCCGGAACTGATCCCAGCCCGGCGTGCGCGTCTGAGCAGCTCAGCGTGAGCGGAGAGGGTGTTTGCGGCCGTGGGAGTCGTGGTCAGACAGAGCTTGGCGTGTGGGTTTCTCAGCTCCTGGGGATGATACCATGTCCCACACAGGCTGTCGGATCGCTGTCAGGTAGTAGTAGTGTCGGCCCCACCACTGATCGTCCCGGCTCTCTGCTGCCTCCGCCCGCTCCGGATGGCTGCTTGTGCCTTTGCCGTGCACTGATGGTGCCGTTGCTGTTCCTGCCTGCTGCAGTCCGAGACCTCTCCTCACTGGGTACTTCGTGAGCCGCATTCCTCATCATCCATGCTTCCCCGCCGTTTGCAGTCCTATTTGCAGGATCCGGTCTCTCGTTACCTTGTTTCCTTGTTGAAATTAGCAGCTCCTGCCCGTGTTTCAGCTGTAATAGCTTCCTGTTTCAGCCTACGGTTTGCATTTCAGGCTCCCTGACTTCAAAGCCCTCAGCTGACTTCTGACTCTACTCCTTTTGCCTTGCCCATTGGATTTATGGATCTTTTAGTACCTCAGTTGGCACTGACCACGCTGACCATAATGTCATTCCAGCAATACTGCAGTCTATTGTATACCTGAGAGATGTTTTCCACTCTCAGCTGAGATGCCCCGAAGGGATTGATAGGAGTGTGCTGAGGGGAGAGATGCCTCAGGCTGCAGTTGGACGTGGCTAGTGACCGTCAGGAAGAGCAGATTTCTTCTTGTGTGCTGTGTTTCCCTCTCAGGAAAGAATGACAGCTCTTCAAATCTGCTAAATGGAACAGACTCTTTTTTGTTGCAGTGATCCATGTTAAAAATGCCTTCGGTCTTACTGCTAACCTAGATCACTGTGGCAGAACAAGAACCAGAACTAGACTGCACATAAAATTAAAGATTTGAAAGCACTGGCCTTAGAAAGGGGGCTGGAAATATATAAATGGGGGCAGTAATTTCTTCACTTTTGTGAATACTTTTTTTACTTCAAGCTAGGCCACTTGGTAGGAAATGCCATGGACAGCAGTGATCTAAGATGTGCCCATCTTTAGGACTGTAGAATTTGTTTGGGATTCATAATGCCTGATCCTTGCCAGGTTATATCCCTTTGTCAGGTAACAAGGCAAACAGGGTTGTCCTCAGCCCTCTGATCTATTTTCACCAGTGGCTGCTGCACACACTGGGCAAAGAGCTCCCTCTTTTGCTTGAGAAAGAATGTGAGCTTAACACCAGCGAAGAAAAATGTTTCAGCCATTTTGCTAGGAAGTATTTAGGGTATGTCTCCTGGAAGCTTTTTCTGTTGGAGCCATTAAAGTTTGCAGGAAATAATTAAATATTCATTTTGAGAGATAGGAGAATGAGCACTGCTCTTTAATCTTCTCATCTGAGCATTTACACAACGGGGGAGGAATCAAGATTCTAGAGTTAGCATCACTGAATACTTAATTTAATGTATTTAAATGTTAATTGGAGTCCCAGTGAGTGCCCTGAGCATTAAGCTACAGCAGTATTACTCATTCTTGTCTTTTTCCTTAGCCCAATTAATATTTATTTCATGCACGTTAGAACCACCCTACAGGAATGATGGAGATTCAACTTCCTTGCTGTATTCTCTGACTTACTGATTGTGTGAGGTGAGGTCCTTGCAGGTTCAAACCTTCCCATGGAGAATGTTGGATTTGAAACAAGATCCCCCAGATTTAGGATGAGTGCTCAGATCATTGTGTTGGTAGCTGGTAGAAAGATGCCTCATGTCACATATTACTCAGGTCAGTAAATGATCCGTTCTGGATCAAGGCTGGTGGGAGAGAGGTTGACAGATGCATGGTGAATCTTGCTGCAGCCTAAATATGAGTTAGAATTGAGGCTATTCCTCACCATCTAGACTTGGCTGTGACCTCGTCTGCTGCTGGCACAGGTGGTAGCTGAGTCTGGAGAAATGAAAATGTAGACTTCAAGTCTTGAATTCCCTTTGTGACTGTAGTTGTAAACATACTGTCAGGTTTGCTTTTAAATGAAAATCTCTCACTGTTTTGTTTGGCTTTTCTTCTTGTCGACAATCCCAGAAAGCCCTGTGTGAATACTCAAACTGCCTACAGCTCTTACCTCCCGGCAACATTGCAATGAGACGAGATGTCCAAGAGGGCCAGGCTCGGTGTTTATCTCGCTTAGGAAGGCACAAGGAGGCTCTGGGTATTGCAGAAAAAATGGTAAATAATGCAGTCTTTCTTTTAGGCTTTGAACTTTAAAACATTGCCAGTAGTTCTTTTATACAGACCATTTTCTGGAAAAATAATTTTCATTTGTATAATCCTTCAGGATGTTCAATGCTCAGAGTATTTGGTAAACAGAGGGTAACTGTCATTGCAGATATAATCACTCTTTAGAAATCAGAACACCCTGTACCACAATGAGCTCCCTGTGCAGGGAAGCTGGTAGTCCTGGAAGGGACTAAATATCATGCTCTGCCAGGCAGAATTAATGCAATGTAATAGGAATTATAAGAAAGGGGATAAATGAGTGCTTAAATCTTTCCACTATAAAAGTGACAGTTCAAAACTCCCTTTTATTTCCATATACTTGCTGCCAAACTACCACCAAGAAGAGTATCTAGGCACAAATTGAGTTTTTCCCATAAAGGAAAAAATCTAGAGGCTCTGAAGTCTGGTGGAATTTTACTGATGTTGTTTATTTTATATAAAAGGTATTTATACTGCAAAGAAAGGAAGCTGTATAACACTGAAGGCAAATAAACAAATGACAGCATTTGGGACCTTCTTGCCTTCAGACTGGGACAAAGCAGTCTGAAGGAGGGAATGCTGTCAGATCCGTCATGCAAGATCTGTATCCCATTGTATCATTTAAAATTAAGAGCACCATTTGTACAATTTAAAAATTACCTTATGGTGTTTGTATGTCTTTAGGGAGACATTTTCTTAGACTCTGAAGGATGATTCTGTTCTACTCCTGTTTTTCATCTGTTATCTTTTGTTTCTAGAGAAACAGCGCTACCAACACGGATCACTTAACAACAGTTCTCAACCTGCAGTTTTCCATTTACCAGGGTGTGGAAAATGTAGGAAAAAAGATCTTGTGTCTGCAGCAACTGATCTGCTTACATCCTTTCAACCCCTGGTTCTGGAAATTTCTTGCTGAAGCTTATATGGGCCTTTTACAGAATTTGTCTCCATTAGTCGTTCCAGGAACAAATCTAAATCCTTCTGAAGAGGTTAGTGTAAGTGACAGTCGTTTCAAAACACCGACTGGAAGAGAGATTAATTTGCAGCCTCACCGATCAGATGGCCAGAAAGAAGGCCCTTGGTCCAGCCTTGCTGCAGAAACAAAGGGGGAGAATGCAGTGACTTGTAGCAGCAGCCAAGTGGTGAAAGAATTCCTCTGCACTTTGGGAGAACTGGAAAGGACGGACGAAGGGAAATGCGCAGACTCCAAGTCCTGGAAGCAGAACGTGTCGAAGAAAGTTGGGATAAAGGCATGTGCCTCGTTTATTAGAGCAAGGTAACCACACGTATTCTTAGAATAATGCTAACTTCTCCCAGTCAAGAACAATGTAAAGCATATTTTTCCCAGCCTTATTATTTTCAGTTTACATTATCAGTTTAAATGTTTGTTTCAGAGTTGGCAACACTAACTTAGAAGCACCCTGCTTTTGCTGCAGATCTAAAAAGCAAAGCCTACTAGCATGGTAGCTGTGAAGAGTCTAAATCTGAGTGGAAAGAATAAACCGGTGTCATGCACAGTTGAGAAATAAAGCAGTTTTTAATGAGCTTATAATGTGAATCTTTTCAAGTAATTATGTACAAAGGGATGTGTTCTTCAACAAATGCTCCTGTTAGATCATGGCTGATCCCTGGTCTGATATTAAAGATGCAGCAGCAGAAGTGCCCCAAAGGGAGGGCATAGCCAGTCCTTCTGCAAGTGCCACCTGTCTTATTTGCTTGAAGCCTCATGCTTGAGTGAAAATGTATTTCATAATAATAGCCCAATCTGCATAATGGATGAGGTTGAAAAATGAACTCTGTGACAACTGATTGACAGGGCTGCATTAAAATGCTCTTTCCTTTTCTTTCCCCTCATCCTAAAACTCTTGCACACAGCAAAAATCCCCAAAACATAATCTTTCAAAGAGATAATTAAGAACTGGTTTTGTTAAAATAATCATGGATGTTTTGTTCCCGCTCTTGCCTCTCAGTAATGTATTAGTCACTGAATGTATTTAAAGGCATCTTAGGAACTTCCACAAATGTTTACAGAGAACACTTTATAACTGCCCTGTTAGGGCAAGATTTAGGAAATATAAAAAAAACATGCAGTAGCTTTTAACTGTACTCAGACTAAGAGATGGAGACTTTAATTGCTACTTGGAAGAAGTTAACTGATTTAGTACTGATATTGAATATTAAAGCTACATTCATATTAATAATTTGTGTTGCTTGTTTCAATGTGTATGGTTCAGGATTGAACCAGTTATAAATGGTGGGATTTCCTTGCTTGGCTGCACAGTATCACAGAGTATTACTGTACTTGCAGATACACTTGTTCAGGGTAAGCTTCTTCCCTGCCCAGGGCTTACGCATTACATAGGCTGTCTAACATTTTCAGGTCTGCTGGATTTTAAGTGGGATGTAAATGTTGCATAAATATATGTGCAGGATAAATTGCACCTGGGAAAGGGATGTTAGTATTGCTTTTTGTAGAAAATAAGGTTCTGTTTTAAAGCATCGTGAATAGTCGACTCTCCTAGTTTCAAAAAAAAATTGGAGAAATTGTTTTATTTAATTTTTAATGATATTTCATTCTTTTTTACATTGTTTTGATGCAAATTTTGAAACACAAAATTTTATAAATTAAAAATACTTTCCATTTTCACTTTGAATTTCCCAGTTAAAACTTTATTGAATTTACAGATGGTTCACTGGTTCAGATTTGTAAATTTTGATGCTTATAATGCTCAAATGAAAGTTTTCATCTAAGATCTTGAGTCTTCTCCATAAAAAATGCACACCATTATTATAACTCCAGCTTCATTTAAATTCAGTAAATGTGTTAAAAAAATTGTTGTTGTTCTTTATGCATAAAGCTTGAATTAAACATGGTTTCAGCAATAACACAGCTAAGTTCCAATGATCCCTTGGTTGAATATTGTAGAATCATAGAATACCAAGTTGGAAGGGACCTCAAGGATCATCTAGTCCAACATTTCTTGGCAAAAGCGATCTAGGCAAGATGGCCCAGCACCCTGTCTGGCTGAATCTTAAAAGTGTCCAACACTGGAGAATCCACAACATTCCCGAGGAGATTATTCAATGACTGATTGTTCTCATTGTAAAAAAAATTTCCTCTCATATCCAGTTGGAATCTCTCTGGAATTAACATATACCTATTACCTTTAATTTTTTCTGCGTGGCTCCTTGTAAAAAGGAAGTCTCCATTTTCTTTGTAGCCACCCTTTAAATACTGAAACACAGTGATAAGGTCTCCCCTAAGGCTGCTTTTCTTAATCCTGAACAAACCCAGTTCTCCCAGCCATTCCTTGAATGGCAGGCTTCCCAGTCCTTTGATCACCTTTGTGGCCTTTCTCTGGACCATAATAAATTCTCTAAAACTAATATTTATCCCTACAATAATGCCCATTGTGAATTTTAGAGAGTTCACAGGAAATGCAATATCTCTGAATGTTCCTAGAAGTGTAAAATAAGCACAGTACCTGTTAATTCACCTGACAGGCAGATGTGAGACAACCGTACAGATACCTGAGTATTTCCTCTGATGACATATTTTACACAGTCCCTGTGTGAGGAGGGCTCTGCAAACTGCCACTGCTCTCTCTGGTTGAGCAGTTGATGATGGGACTCTGTGACATGAAGCCGTGTCGTGAGCACAATGTCTGCCCTTCACTGAATGGTGGTGGTGACTTCTGGGGCAGTGCTTGAACATAAACTGTGGCGAACGCTTTTAGAAAATATTCCAGGTTTGGCCTGTGTGGGGAGGATGTTTGATATTTGTCTAAAACCCTCAAATTTCTAGCTTTTCAGGTTACAAAGATAATCACTGCATAGGAAAAAAACGTGCTGCTGTCTTGTTAGGCTGCGGTAAGGACGTTATGATCACAGGTCTGAGCCTCATTTTGGAATAGTGTGACGAATATATGGGGAGAAAAACGTTTGTGCAGGGCAACCAGAGATACTTGGCATGTTGTTTTTCAAAAATACTTCTCAGCAGGTCTGTCATAGCACAGATACACCGTACCTGTGGTGGGTTAGTACAGGTGTATTTACTTCTTTGCAGTCGGCAAAAGTCAGGAATGGCTGTTTTAAAGTACTATGTTTTGGCTGGTTTTAGGTCTGCCAACTTACTCTTTTGCCAGCCGTGCCAATTTTTAACTGCTTTTCTTTTTCCAGGCTTCTATTTCAGCTTACCCAGTTGCAACAGTCATCCTTTGTGCTAGAGACTAACAGAAAAGGTCAGAAAGAAATCGATGACAAAGTGGCACAACTTGGTTTTGATGAAAACTCCTTGCTGTTGATGACCAAGGTAAGGGGATGTTTTACTGTGTGCAAGTTCTCAGCTCTGTGTAGACTGGTTGTCCTGTAAGCATGACACTGCCCTGTGCTATTGAACTGTGCCAGGACAGAAAGGAAATTAGCTGGGGCGGGCTGCTGGCAGTGTGTTACCTGGATCTGATAGGGATGCCTACAGAGCTCTGGCCTGCGTCATGGGTGTCTCTCTGATCTGCTGAGATTCTCCTTTCAGGAATGTTCAGGGTTGTTAAGTTTCTCACTGGACCTGTATTTGCAGGTGTGTCATTGCTGTGCGTTTCCTGGGATGCACATTTTATCTCAGGAATTTTAGATGCCCCAAAGTGAATCACAAGTCTGAAATGGAAGTGGAGATTACTTTGATGGCCATTGCAATATTAAACACTTCCAGAAAATGTATTACATATTTTCAGAAAAAGCCAGAGATAATATTTTACATTTCTTTGTTCTGATTGAGGTACTGGTTTCTAAGTTTAAAGAAATATAAAGGAAGAGAGTAATATTGCATGATTTTATTCATAGAGATTAAACATTTTTAGTGCTGTTTATGGAGCTTCTGACTTCTATTTTAAGGAATAAAAGGGAGCCAGTGAGGTTCTAACTTCGCTCTCAGCATTACAGCTTTAGTTAGTGACAGCCGAGCCACTGCCGGGCTGGCAGTCAGTCTGTGGGATTGCATCCATGAGAGGGCAGTAGCATGCAGGCTATCTCAGGGTTGGAAAAGGCGAAGGACAGAAACTTCCCTTTGCTCGGACACGCTCCAGGAGGAGCTCAGTGTTGATGCTGATGCGAGATGAGCACTGAATGCAGAGTTGGCACTGAGATTTCCGCTGCTGTTCAGAGTGAACGCCCCCACACACACCCCGTGCAAGTGTAGCCAGAAGCCTGGAGGGGTTGTGCAGCTGTGAGGCTTGGGCTCAGTTCTCCCTGTCCACTGCAGAATTCCACAAGCAGGCAACTTGAGCATGACCTGGGAGCTTCTCCAGGATAGTGTGTGGTTCACGTGACAAGGGCTTTGCTCATTAAGATCTGTTATTAATGCCATGTTTGCTGGGTTTTTTTCTGCAAGTTGTTTTATTGTTTCCAATCTTCTTTTTTTTACTCTTTTTGCAGGTTATGGGGCAGGATCTTATACCAGAAAAACTAAAAGAGGAGTTTCAGGGTGAGGTAAAATGCATAGGCCCTTCAGCATTGTCATCATTGGTAAATGCGTCAGTCGTGGAATTTGAAGTCAAATGGTTCGGTAATCTCCAAGATGATTTATGACACTTTGACAGTCAATTCTATTCAGATATATATGTCCCACCTTTAGTAACTTAAAGGTTTTGTTGTATTTATTCTTTTATCTCCAAATGATTATGGCATGATACATGCAATAAAGTTCATATTGCATTTTTTAAGAATTCTTTTTGTGTGTCTTTTAAGAATGGATATAAATCTCTGCATTTAAACTCTTAACCTTGCGTCATTTTCTGTGTTAACTGATTGTTTGTATTTCAAATTATGAGGAATCTAGTATAAAATCAAGCTTTCAATTCAGCTTTCAGAGGTAGCTTTCCATCATAAACCTCACCAATTTGTTTGAAACACCTGTGATTTTTTTGAGGCCTGCAATGCCAGTGGGACGGAAGGCTTCCTTTATGATGTGCAATTTGAAATTTCTTGGTATCAAATTCAATGTTGTTGCATTTAGAGCCAGGAAATTAGCCATTTTCTTAGGTAATTTAAGTAATAGTAATTTTCTGTTCAGAGATGGATAGCTAGAAATCTTAAATATATTTATCCTGAGAATTTGTCGATAATTCCATATATTTTAGGAAGAAAATCTAAGTAGTAATATTTCACTTAGAAGATTTTTTTTTCTTCAAAGCTAAGTGTTTTTTGCAGGTGTAGAACAAGCTGTAGTCTTGTCTTCAGAGTGCTTCGATGACGGAGGAGAAAAACTGTCAAGGTTGTTTATATGTGTACTGAAGAGTGTTTAGTCAGAGCATATCCTTTGTAAAAGCCTTGCAAGGAAGATCTTTGCTGTGAAAACTGGCAGTGTTGTTTCTGCCTCATATGGCTCCTTCTGTTGTGCATTCAGTTGATAGTGACACCACTTTGCTTTGCTTTCTGAAGCGCTGATACCGCATGCTTTGGGTTTCTACAGAAAAAGGGATAAGATTCTCCTGTAGTTTGTTCCACTGGAAATAGTTTACATTCCAGACATATATGGTGTGCTCTTCCCCCATCTTCTCTTAAACCGTGAGACTTAGATTCTTTGTACCTTTTTATAAAAGTGTTCTATAATGGATGTAGCTTAAAACTAGGAATCTTCTAGACATATTTTGCTGTCACTTTTATTCATGTTTTCCTGTGTTTTCTTTCTGAGGTAGTAAAGAGAGATGAAAATTTAAATAGCTCACAACTGAATGGTAATTCACCATGCGTGAATTGTTTCTGCGACTTCTAGGTGAATTTTCAATCTTGAAAATACTGGTTAGGGAACCTGTCACTAAGGGTTTGGGTTGGAAGAAACATTAAAGATCATCTCGTTCCAAGCCCCTGCCATGGGCAGGGACACCTTCCACTAGACCAGGTTGCTCAAAGCCCCATCCAACCTGGCCTTGAACACTTCCAGGGATGGGGCATCCACAGCTTCTCTGGGCAGCCTGTTCCTGTGCTTCACCACCCTCACAGTAAAGAATTTCTTCTGTATAACTAATCTAAATCTGCCCTCTTTCAGTTTGACACCATCCCTTCTTGTCTTGTCACCACATATTCTTGTAAAAAGTCCCTCTCCAGCTCTCATAGCCCTCTCTTGTACTGGAAGGCTGCAGTAAGGTCTCCCTGGGGCCATCTCTTCTTCAGGCTGCAGAGCACAACTCTCTCAGCCTTTCCTGAGCAGAGGTGCTCCATCTCCCTGATAGTCCTGGTGGCCTTCTCTGGACTTGCTCCAACAGGTCCATGTCCTCTCTGTGCTGGGGGCCCCAGAGCCCCATGCAGTGCTCCAGGTGGGGCCTCACCAAGCGGAGTAGAGGGGTAGAATCACCTCCCTCGCCCTGCTGCCCACACAGCTTTTGATGCAGCCCAGAACACCTTTGGCTTTCTGGGCTGCAAGCTCACATTGCTGGCTCATGTCCAGCCTCTCATCCACCAGCACCCCCAAGTCCTCAGCAGGGCTGCTCTCCATCTGTTTCAGCCCCCAGCCTGGATTGGTACCAGGGGTTTCCCTGACCCAGGTGCAGCACCTTGCACTTGGTCTTGTTAAACCTCACAAGATTCCACAGGCCCACTTCTCCAGCTTTTCCAAGTCCCTCTGGATAGCATCCCATCCTTCAGGTGTGTCAACTGCACCACTCAGCCTGGTGTCATCTGCAAACTTGCTGAGGGTGCACTCAATCCCTTTGTCTATGTCACTGATGAAGAGATTGAACCCTTGGTGTGGTGTGGCCTTCTGCTAAGTCGACTGAAACCTCTCCAGAAAAATGGAATATCACCTTCAGCCACGTCAAATTATCTTTGATAGTTTGGTGAGTTAAGGTGATTAAACCACATCCTGGTCAGCTCATTACGAAAGATGATGACTTGGCAAGTACACCTGGTGAGCATTAGTGCACTCATAATGTACTACAGAGTATTTGGTTTAGTCATGCGTGTGCTTTGCTCGGTGGAGGTTTTTGTGTGTGTTTGTGCAGCGCTATGGTCGGGTGGCAGTAAAGGCCACCTGAAGGGCTGGGAATGCTTTTAAGACTAATTGGTGGTGTAAGTTTTCAGTAGGGACTGTCCATAACATGCTGTAAATTAATTACAATGTTGGCATCAATAGTAGAATATTGCGACAAAGACAGCAAATACAGAAAGCTTAATGCTAAATATGTCAGCAAAAAATGAAACAGGGACATCTCCCAGTTTCTTCTTAAACTTAAGGTCATGAGTAGCCACATGAAAAGGCTGTAATTTTTTCTGCCTCAGCTCAGTAGGTTCAGTAGTTAGGACACCAGAACACAGCTTTTGTGGAATCAGGTCTGTATAGATATTTAATGGGAACTTGCCACATGATTTGGCTCCACAAATAGCATTGGAACTGTTTTAACAGCAAATTAAATACTTGCCAAATGTCATTTTGTGATGGAGGTGTCCAAAATACATGGCATATTTGGAAACAGATACAGAAGATTTGGAAACTTTTTGGTGTATGTGCAGGTTGTTTGACTTGAGGTTGTCTCTCAGGCTGGGAACACAGTGGTTAACTCCCCACTGGCTCCAGGAGTGAAAGGCAAGTGGCATTTCTTCAGAACAGGCAGTATTTTCTCATAACAATAAAGCAAAAATGTTGGGTTTAAGTACTGCAAAGAAAACAAGATGAATGTTCTGAATGTGTCACATAGTTACTGTTCCAAATAACCAGTGCTTATTGCACTGGGGCTATAAAATATTCCTTTGTCCCACTTGTGCCTGGCTGTCTCTCATCTCAGCTACTTCAGTTCGTCCTTTTTTGGCCTGCTTCTCACTTTTTTGGCATGCCTCTTCTAACTCAGTTTTCTGTTTCTGATCATGTCTCAAGGGGGGCTTTGTGTTTCCATCTTGCATTGAATGCCTCATTGTTGCTTCTACGTTCTGCATAATTTTACATCTGCCTGTAATAGATTTCTTCATGTTTTGGCTCTTATGATATTATTGTTGGTATTTGTACATGCAGCAGTACTCCATGCTGAGTTAAATAGCAAATTTTAGTGTTGCACATTGCAAGTGAGAATCCTTTAACAGTTACTGAGGTTTGATTTTGTTATTTCCGTACTTGCTTGTGTCACAGGTGCTTTGGGAAGGACCCTCCCACCCTGGTTCTGATGCTCCTGAAATGATTGTTGCCTACAAATACACTCTTAATTATGTGTCTTACTATTGAGTGTTTGCTGCTGGCTTGGAAGCGAGAGAACATGTTAGTGCTGTAACTTGTAATGTGTACACAGTTTTCTTCATCACAGAATCATCAAATGGTTTGGGTTGGAAGGGACCTTCAAAGGGGATCTAGTTCCAACTCTCCCACCAGGGGGGTTGGCAGGGAACCTTCCACTAGACCATGGGGCTCAAAGCCCATCCTGATGCTCTACCACTCCCTCCTTCCCCAGCACCACAGGAAAGCAGAAAATAAGATGGAAAAAAAAGGACCTGTGGTTCATGATAAAGGCAGTTTAGTAGAGAAGAAGCAAAGTCTGCACAAGGAAACAGAGGAAAACGAAACTGTATTTATTTTCTACTTTCCAACAGAAGTCAATGACATTGTAAAAATGAGGATGTGAAAAGTCTTCAGACTTGCTTGTAAGGAATCAAGAGTTGTAACATGGGGTCCTGCTTGTGCTCCCAGCTGAGAGCCACCTTCATTGCTAGCAGTAGCAGAGGGGTTTTAGGTGGTGCCAACTTCTCCTGCCCTCTTTCTGGTATACACACTCAAAAGCTAGATGAACAATGCAAGCAAATCCATTTTGGTACCAATTTGGCAACCCAGGTGGGACTCTGTGAGTTTCCAACCTAGTGAGCGTGGTGATGGGATATGACACAGCCAGTACTGGTGCATTCACCCCATTTTCCTTGCAAGATCCACATTCCCAGGGAAGGTACTAGATCTGGGGACAGCATCAGTCGTTGGGGGGTTAAATAGGTAAGGTAAAATGGGGTTTACTGACTGCTGAGAGAAATTCTGGGAAACTGGAAGAAAATTGATGGTACTTCAGGACTCCATCAAGCTTTGTGTAGTTTTGTGTCAGGGTGAGTGCCTGGAACTCGGGAGAGGACACCCTCCAAGTGCTGGCCCCAGGGGGGTTCATTTGCTATGAGAAAGCTGACCTTCCTGTCTCATCTGTGATACAATTGGCTTTTTGAGCTGCAAGCGCACATTGACAGCTCATGTCTACTGTATCACCCACCAGTATCCCCATGTTCTCTGGGTTGCTCTCAATCCACTCATCCCCACTCTGTACAGGTGCTGTGGATTGCCCCAGCCCAGGTGCAGGAGCTTGCACTTGGCCTTGTTGAACTTCATGGGGTTCACATGGGCCTCCAGCCTGTCCAGTTCCCTGTGGACAGCATCCCATCCCTGTAGTGAATCACCTGCACCACTCAGCTTGGTGTCATCCCCGAACTTGCAGAGGGTGCAGTGTGTGGTAGGAGTGTTTATCTGAGCACATCCCTTGCCGCAGATGGGTGCAGTAGGGAGGGAGGGAGGTGGATAGGTAGGTCAGCATTCTGTCATGGCCTTTGTGATGGTTTCTGCAGCTGCCTGTAATCATGTTGCCCTTCATCACTAAGTGATCGTGCTTGTGGGGGCCTGTTTTTAGCATAAGTCATTGCTGAAATTGTAAAGTCTTCCATCAGAACTGAAATTTCATCCATTTGATGTTCAAATTCAGATG